GAGGTGATACAACTTAGCCCCTCAGCTTGGAGTTGGGGAAACTGAGGCAAAGAGGTTAGGACTCGGACATCCAGACCCCAGGTGCCGCACCCCTTCCTTGGCCAGGTGCCATCCCTCCGCTGACCCATCTTCTCTGCCCGCAGGACTTGCAGGGCTCTGTGCAGCGCATCTGCGAGTTCCTGGGCCATCCACTGGGCAAGGAGGCGCTGGGCTCCGTCGTGGCGCACTCGACCTTCAGCGCCATGAAGGCCAACACCATGTCCAACTACACGCTGCTGCCCCCCAGCCTGCTGGACCACCGCCGTGGGGCCTTCCTCCGGAAAGGTGCGGGGGCTCTGGGGCTCGGAGCCCACTAGGTACTGCCCAGCTGTGTGACCCGCGAGTCACTTGACCTCTCTGGGCTTGTTTCTCACCCAGCCGTAGCACTGGGTGAACGGGGGCACTGTGGCCCCAGGGTTGACCACACACAGGGCTTAGCACTAGCCCAGCACACGTGCCAGCCACCCAAGGCCTTCCCACCCAGAGAACCCCCAACGAGAGCGAAACCTCCAGGAGCGCTGCAGATCCACCCGAGGGGAGATTTAGAGTCTCTGTGAATCGTCCTTCACAGCTGTGCTCACCGCGGAAATACTCCAGCACTGGGTCACGGGCGCAGGCCGAGGCATAGTCGTTTCTTCCTCCTGCTGTAACAAAACAGCACAAACTGCGGGGCTCACAACAACACACCTTTACCTGCTCTCTTTTTTTCTTTTTGAGACGGCGTCTCGCTCTGTCGCCCAGGCTGGAGTGCAGGGGCTCAGTCTCTGCTCACTGCAACCTCCGCCTCCCAGGTTCAAGCGATTCTCCTGCCTCGGCCTCCCGAGCAGCTGGGGCTGCTGGCACACGCAGCTGATTTTTGTATTTTCAGTAGAGACAGGGTTTCACTATCTTGGCCAAGCTGGTCTCCAACTCCTGACCTCAAGTGATCCACTTGCCTGGGTTCCCAGAGTGCTAGCATTATAGGCGTGAGCCACTGTGCCTGACTGGTGTGTTTTTCTTTTTTTTTTTAAATTTTTTGTTTGGTTGGTTTTTGGTTTTTGAGACAGAGTTTCGCCCTTGTTGCCCAGGAGTGCAGTGGTGCGATCTCGGCTCACCACAGCCTCCACCTCCCAGGTTCAAGTAATTCTACTGCCTCAGTCTCCCGAGTAGCCTGGATTACAGGTGCCTGCCACTGTACCTGGATAATTTGTGTAGTTTTTAGTAAAGATGGGGTTTCACCATCTTGGCCCAGCTGGTTTTGAACTCCTGACCTCGTGATCCACCCGCCTCGGCCTCCCAAAGTGCTGGGATTACAGGCGTGAGTCCCCGCGCTGGGCCCTTCCTCCCTTTTACAGGGACCCACCGTGAGGATGACATTGAGCCCGCCCAGATGCTTCAGGGTTCTCTCCCCATCTCCAGATCTTTCGCTTAATTTAATTATCTGCCAAATCCCTTTTGCCACATAAGGTCACATATTCACAGGTTCCAAGGATTAGAGTGTGGATATGGGAGGCCAGATGCAGTGGCTCACTTAATCCCAGTACCTTGGGAGGCCAAGGCTGGTGGATCACGAGGTAAGGAGTTCGAGACCAGCCTGACCAACATGGTGAAACCCCCATCTCTAGTAAAAATACAAAAATTAGCCAGGCATGCTGGCACACACCTGTAATCCCAGCTACTCGGGAGGCTGAGGCAGGAAAATCGATTGAACCTAGGAGGCGGAAGTTGCCGTGAGCCAAGATCTGACCATTGCACTCCAGCCTGGGTTAGAGACTCGGTCTCAAAAAAAAAAAAACAAAGAACGAGGATATGGGAGGAGTCATTATTCAACCCACCCCAGGAAGCTCCCCCACAACGACCTCACTAAGGTAACATGGGGCACATGCACTTGCTAAAAGGCAAACTACGCAGCCGAGTGCCATGGCTCATGCCTGAAATCCCAGCACTTTGGGAGGCCGAGGCAGGTGGATCACCTGAGGTTGGGAGTTCGAGAGCAGCCTGGCCAACATGATGAAACCCCGTCTCTACTAAAAAAAAAAAAAAAAAAAAAAAAAATGTATATACACACACATACATACACAAAAAATTAGCTGGGCGTGATCCAGCTAGTTGGGAGGCTAAGGTAGGAGAATCACTTGAACCTGGGAGGCAGAGGTTGCAGTGAGCTGAGATCACGCCATTGCACTCCAGCCTAGGCAATAAAACCGAAATTCCATCTCACACACACACACACACACACACACACACACACACACACACAAAAAGGCAAACTACAGTCACCTGAATGCCATCAGCTCCAGGGTTCCAGGTGAGGGGTGATGACCCAGTAATAGCCCCACAGTGAGAAAACTGAGACTTGGGCTGGGCGCAGTGGCTCACGCCTGTAATCCCAGTACTTTGGGAGGTCGAGGCAGGCAAATCACGAGGTCAGGAGTTCAAAGCCGGGCAAAGATGGTGACACCCCATCTCTACTAAAAATAGAAAAATTAGCCAGGCATGGTGGCAGATGCCTGTAGTCCCAGCTACTCGGGAGGCTGAGGCAGGAGAATCCCTTGAACCTGGGAGGTGGAGGTTGCAGTGAGCCAAGATCACACCTGCACTCCAGCCTGGGCAAGACAATGACATTCTCAAAAAAAAAAGAAAAGAAAGCAAAAAAGAAAACTGAGGCTTTGAAGGTTCCCGAGGCCCACCTGCTTCGCCAGTCAGCAAATCGGTCGCAAACCCTGAGCACAGCGCCTGCAGAAGGGGGTCCCGTCCGTGTCTGAGCTGTGATAGCAGCAGCGCGGAGTGTTGTGGGGGCTCTGAAACAGGTGGCCTCGTTCTAGCAGGGGAGGGTTGGGACTGATCGCAGAGGAGGTGACACGGGCTATAAGGTGGGCAGGAACTGGGGGGTGGAGACAGAGGTTCTGGGCAGAGACTTAAGGGGTCCTGGATAAGGGGAGGGCGGCAGGAAGCCTGCAGGAGCGGCGCCAGGTGACTGGTGGACCGGCCGAGACTCCGTCACCAAAGGACACAAAGTGGGCAAGGTGGAGGGTGGGGGCGACGGAGTTTCTGGCACGGGGAACGGCTCGGCAAGGGCCCGGAGGAGGAAAGAGGGTGCCGGAATGTGGGAGGTAGGGGTGCGATGCACCCCAGAGGCTCCTCACCCCGATCCCCCCTCCCCTCCAGGGATCTGCGGCGACTGGAAGAACCACTTCACGGTGGCCCAGAGCGAAGCGTTCGATCGCGTCTACCGCAGGCAGATGCAGGGGATGCCGACCTTCCCCTGGGATGAAGACCCGGAGGAGGACGCCAGCCTGGACCCTGAGCCCAGCCTGGACCCTGAGCCCAGCCCCGAGCCGGAGCCCAGCCCCGGCCCCGGCCAGCCCTCTGAGCCCTCGCACCCGAGACCCTGAGAATAAACACGTCGCTTCTGCCCGGGTTCCTTGACGTGCTGTGGAGGTGGCAGGGCGTGCAGCGGGGCGTGGAGATTCCACCCCGAGGCCTCCGGAGGGTCCCCAACTCAGAAGCTCCGCCCCGACGCAAAGGTGCTGCAGGAACCCAGCGCTGGGAATCTCACCTCCCGGACGGGGCCTGACTCCCCGGTCTGAGGGAGGACGGGCTGGGGGCCTGGACCCCAGAGTCAGAGGAAAGACGGTCTGGGGGTCTAGATTCCTGGGTGTGAAGGAGAAGGGGCTGGGGCCTGGACCCCTGGGACTGAGAGAGGAGGGGCTGGGGGCCTGGACCCCGTGTCTGAGGGAGGAGGGGCTGAAGGTAGAGATCCCTGGGTCTGAGGGAGGAGGGGCTGGGGCCTAGACCCCTGGGTCTGAGGGAGGAGGGACTGGGGTCTGGACCCTGTGTCTGAGGGAGGAGGGGCTGGGAGCCTGGACCCCTGGGACTGAGGGAGGAGGGGCTGGGACCTGGATCCTGTGTCTGAGGGAGGAGGGGCTGAAGGTAGAGATCCCTGGCTCTGAGGGAGGAGGTGCTGGGGTCTGGACTCCTGGGTCTGAGGGAGGAGGGGCTGGGGCCTGGACCCCTGGGTCTGAGGGAGGAGGTGCTGGGGTCTGGACCCCTAGTCCCTGGGATAGAGGGAGGAGGGTTTGAGGCCTGGACTTCTGGGTCTGAAGGAGGAGGGGCTGGGTTGTGGACTCCTGGATTTGGAGCCAGGCTGTGGTAACACATGCTCTTGGCATGAAGCGGTTTTATTCCAAGCAAAGCTAAAGCAGAGTTCCGGCAGACATGCCCCCTCAGCACGCACAGAAAGTCCCGCCACCCACCCCGTTCCCCGGCGGCTGCGGCTGCACCACCCTCCAGTCCCTCATGATTCAGCTCCTCGCCTCAGTTTCCCCACAGCTCCTGGGCACACTGTGCTTGGCAGCAACTCCTCGTCTTCCCGCCACAGCTCCCACTCGGGGCCCGAGCCGGCCTCTCCTCGGAAGGCCCGACCCTCGGGAGCAGCGCCTGTGCTTTTCAGGATCTGCAGCTGGCGGACACTTCCAGCCCATTGTCTGGGCTGTGACGCTGAGGTCCGGTGCAGGCGATGAGCTTGCGCAAGTCCTTTTTTTTTTTTTTTTTTTTTGAGATGGAGTCTTGTTCTGTTGTCCAGGCTGGAGTGCAATAGTGTGATCTTGGCTCGCTGCAACGTCTGCCTCCCAGGTTCAAGCAATTCTCCTGGCTTGGCCTCCCAAGTATCTGGGATTACGGGTGTCCACCACCACCACGCCTGGCTAGTTTTTGTATTTAGGAGAGAGGGGGTTTCGCCATGTTGGTCAGGTTGGTCTTGAACTCTTGACCTTAGGTGATCCACCTGCCTTTAGCCTCCTAAAGTGCTGGGATAACAGGAGTGAGCCACCTCACCCGGCTTTTTTATTTTTTAGGAGACAGCCTCTTGCTGTGTCACCCAGGCTGGAGCACAATGGCACGATCTTGGCTCACTGCTGCCTCTACCTCCTGAGCTCAAGCGACCCTCCGAGTAGCGGGGACTACAGGTGTGCACCACCACACCCAGCTGATTTGTTTTATTTCTTGTAGAGATGGCATCTCACTGTGTTTCCCAGGCTGGTCCGCAACTCCTGGCCTCAAGCAACCCTCCCACCTCAGCCTCCCAAAATGCCGGGATCGCAGGCGTGCACCGCCGCGCCCGGCTGGCCCCAAGTTGCAGAACAAGGCAAGAACAACCTTCCCCGCTTTACACCGAGGCCAGAAGCCTTGTCCAAGGCAGGGCAGCGCGGCAGGGGGCTCTGAGCTGACAGTCGTCTGGCTCTACTCCTTGGGTGGGCCAGCAGATTTGGCTTGGGCTCCTGGTCAGGGTGGCCCCCCAACTCCCGGCCGGGGGGCCCAGTCTGAAGGCCTGACGCCTCTGGGCTCAGGAAGTTTCAGTGTAGCATCCCCACCGAGCCGCCTTTGGGCTGGGGACATATAGCGGAGATGGCGGGTGGGGGGCAGGGGCCATGGCGGTGGAAGTCGTGAGTCTGCCTCCCCCCGGGGGCCTCCTCCACTGCCCCGCTGCCTCATCAGAGCCTTGGCTGGGGTGTCCTTGGAACCCCAGGACTTCTTGACCTGTGGAGGGAAAGAGAGGGAGGGGGTGAGAGGAGGCTGGGGTAGGGACCTGGAGGCATCCCAGAGCCAGGGAAGACAGGAGGTGAGGCCAGAGAGAAGCAGGGAAGGTGACAGACAGCCGGGAGCAGTGGCTCCTGCCTGTAATCCCAGCACGTTGGGAGGCAGAGGTGGGTGGATCGATCGAGGTCAGGAGTTTGAGACCAGCCGGGCCAATATGGTGAAACCCCATCTCTACTAAAAATAGAAAAGTTAGCCGGGTGTGGTGGCGGGCACCTGTAATCCCAGCTACGTGGGTGGTTGCGACAGAAGAATCGCTTGAACCCGGAAGGCAGAGGTTGCAGTACAATCAGTGGCAGTGAGTTGAGATTTCACCGCTGCACTCCAGCCTGGGTGACAGAGCGAGACTCAGTCTCAAAACAACAACAACAAAAAAAGAAAGTGACAGAGGATGTGAGGTAGGTGGAAGGAGAGGATGAGGGAGGGAGGGGAGGGAAGAGAGGGGGGGGGGGTGAGAGAAGGAGGCTGGGTGTGATGGCTCATGCCTCTAATCCCAGCACTTTGGATGGCTTAAGCTCAGGAGTTCGAGACCAGCCTGGGCAACACAGTGAGACCTCATCTCTACAAAAAATACAAAAATTAGCTGGGTGTGATGGATGCACCTGTAACCCTAGCTACTTGGGAGGCTGAGGTGGGAGGATCACTTGAGCCCAGGAGGTTGAAGCTATAGCGAGCTGAGTGAAATCCTGTCTCAAAAAAAAAAAGGTGGGAGGAGGAGGAGGAAGGGGTAAGGGAGAAGGTGAGGGAGGAGAAAAAAGGGGGGGCGGGAGGAAGGGAGCCAGGAAGGAGCGAGAGGAGACAGAGGGGGTGAAAGGGGAGGAGGCAGGGGCGGGGAGGCAGGAGGAGGAAGGGCAGCAAGGAGCGGGCTGCAGGGGAGGAGGCAGGAGGGCAGGGAAGGAAGCCAGAGAGGGAAGTGGGGAAGTGAGAGGGCAGGCCTGGGACCCCCTGCAACCTACAAGAGGGGACAGGGAGCTGGGTCCCCACCTCTGCAGCTGGGGAGGAACCGGAAGCGCTGGCATCTGCCAGGGGGAAGCAAATATTTGCCCAGGGAGGGGATGCTGGGTGAAGGCACTCAGAACCAGGCAGGGGTGAGGACCTTGCCCCTGCCCATCCCCCGTCTCCTCTCCAGCTAGGAGCCTTCAATGCCTGCGACGGAGGGGGACAATTCTTGATTCCCAGGATATTTCAGAGTAAGACCCTATCTCAAAAAAAAAAAAAAAAAAAAAAAAAAAAAAAAAAAAAAAATGTGGCCTTCCTGGCCTGGGATGAGGATGTCACAAAATAAATAAATTCCACTTTAGGAATTTATTTATTTAGTAGATGGAGTCTTATTCTGTCGCCCAGACTGGAGTGCAATGGGGCGATCTCGGCCCACTGCAGCCTCTGCCTCCTGGGTTCAAGTGATTCTCCTGCCTCAGCCTCCTGAGTAGCTGGGATTACAGGTGCGCACCACCACGCCCGGCTAATTTCTGTGTTTTTAGTAGAGATGGGGTTTCACTATGTTGGCCAGGCTGGTCTCCAACTCCTGACCTCGTGATCTGCCCGCCTCGGCCACCACAGCTGGCCTATTTATTGTTTATTATTTTGAGACGGTCTCACTCTGTTGCCAGGCTAGAGTGCAGTGGAACAATCTCGGCTCACTGCTATGATTCTCCTGCCTTAGCCTCTCGAGTACCTGGGACCACAGGTGTGCCCACCACACCCAGCTAATCTTTCTGTATTTTCAGTAGAGATGGGCTTTCACCACATTGGCCAGGCTGGTCTCGAACTCCCTGTTTCAGGAATGTATTGTTGTATCATTACAGCTCTATTTCATATAGCCACATGGTTTCCTCCCCCAGCCAAACCCAAAATGAGTGCCCTTGCTCTACCCATTCCTAGATAAAGATACTGAGGGTCAGAGGAGTCAAGTCCTTGGCTTCCCCCATCCCCCACCTAGTGTGTTGTGCCAGGATTTGCACCCAGGGCTCTCCTGTCTCTGCCCCACACCACTCAGCACCGCCTGCCCGGCACACAGTAGGGGTGCAGGAAATGAACAAACGATGCCATTAGGAATCTAGGGCAGGCGTCCCCAAACTACGCCCAGTGCCCAGCCCGCGGGCCGCATGTGGCCCCTGAGGCCATTTATCCGCCCCCTGCCGCACTTCAGGAAGGGGCACCTCTTTCACTGGTGGTCAGTGAGAGGAGCACAGTATGTGGCGGCCCTCCAACCGTCTGAGGGACAGTGAACTGGCCCCCTGTGTAAAAAGTTTGGGGACGCCTGATCTAGGGCATGGGCCCTCAGGAAGCGCCTCCTGCTCTGTGGCTTGAAGCAGGGTCCCCGAAACCAGGCTACACAACCCTGGGCAAACACCCTCCCCTTTCTGGGCTCCATCTCTTCTGGCACCAGCCACAAAGTCTCACCTCATTGTCCCCATCACTGGAGCCAGACAGCTGGGACAGACGGCTTAGGTCCCATAGGGAGCGGCTGGGCCGGGCCGGGGGACCACTGGAGGTCCGGGCGCGCTGCATGCTCCTTAAGATGTCACTGAGTGCCGGCCCCGGGACGGCAGGGGACACTCGGCAGGCGGCCAGGCGGTGGGCCAGTGGGCCATCAGGCAGCGGAGGCAATGCGGGGGCCACAGAGCGGCGGCGGGACACGCGGTGCGGGCTGTGGCCCCGCTGCAGGCCCCCCATGACTGAGGGTCCCTGGAGGGGTGCAGGTGGGAGCGGCCAGGAGGTCGCATACAGCGTCCGGAACTCAAGGCTGAAGGAGTCAACGATTTCACCAGTCAGCAGGGTCACCAGGCCTCGGTGCAGGCGGGCATCACTCCACGTGAAGCTGGGGGCCGGGGAGTGAGGGGTCAGGGTCTCCGTAACCCTCCCGAAGGCCCAGCCCTGCCCTCACCCCCCGCCGGGTCCCCAGGGGAGGCTGTAGGACCTCAGGCAAGTCCCGACCTCTCCAGCCTCAGCTTCCCAGTTTGTAGAATGGGGAGAACTGAAGTCCCTACCGCCGAGGGGTGGTGTGAAGACAGCCCAAGTTAAGACACTTATAATCATGGCTAGGCACAGTGGCTCACACTTTGGGAGGCTGAGGCAGGAGGGTTGCTTGAGCCCAGGAGTTTGACACCAGCCTGGGCAACATGGCAAGACCCTGTCTCTACAAAAAATCAAAAACAACAACCAGGTGTGGTAGCAAACAACGGCACTCCCAGCCACTTGGGAGACTGAGGTGGGAGGATCCCTTGAGCCTGGGGAAAAAAAATTTTTTTTTCCAGAGTTTCTGCTGCCCAGGCTGGAGTACAATGGCACAATCTTGGCTCACTGCAACCTCCACCTCCCAAGTTCAAGTGAATCTCCTGCATCAGCCTCCTGAGTAGCTGGGATTGCAGGCGCCCACCACCACGGCCAGCTATTTTTTTTTGTATTTTTAATAGAGATGAGATGTCACCACGTTGGCCAGGCTGGTCTCAAACTCCTGACCTCAGGTGATCCCAAAGTGCTGGGATTACAGCCATGAGCCACCGTGCCTGGCTGAGCCTGAGAGACTGAGGCTGCAGTAAGCTGTGATCATACCATTGCATTCCAGCCTGGGCAACAGAGCAAGATCCTGTCCCCCCACCAAAAAAACAAAGCCAGGCACAGTGGCTCTCGCCTGTAATCCCAGCACTTTGGGAGATTGAGGTAGATCACAAAGTCAGGAGTTCGAGACCAGCCTGACCAACATGGTGAAACCCTATCTCTACTAAAAATACAGAAATTAACCAGGCATGGTGGTGCATGCCTATAATCCCAGCTACTCAGGAGGCTAAGGCAGGAGAATCACTTGAATCCAGGAGGCGGAGGTTGCAGTGAGCCAAGATCCCACCACTGCACTCCAGCCTGGGTGACTGGAGTTTAAAACTGGGCTCTACCTGGTCCCCACTTAGGAACACCTCAGTGCCTCAGTTTTCTTCCTTGAAGAGAGATGGAATTCACTTCCAAACACTCACAGGGATTGTTGTAAGACCCAGCTGCTTCCAAGAATGACTGCCACTTAGTAAGCGCTGGCTGCACACCAAACTCCACGTTCCTGCTCCCTGCAGTGCTCATCTGCAATATGGAGCCAAAACCTAGGAAGGCTGGGTGCGGTGGCTCATAGAAGCCAAGACAGGAGGAATGCTTGAGGCTAGGAGTTCTAGACCAGCCTGGGCAATATAGCGAGATCCCATCTCTACAAAAAATTTTACAAAATTTACCAGGCATGGTGCTGCGTGCCTGTAGTCCCAGCTACTCTGGAGTCTTAGCCAGAAGAATCACTTGAGCCTGGTAGGTCAAGGCTGCAGTGAGCCAAGATTGTGGCACCACACTCCACCCTGGGCAACAGAGCAAGATCCTATCTCTTAAAAAAAAAAAAAATCAATCTTTTTTTTTTTTTTTTTTTTTTTTTTGAGACAGAGTCTTGCTCTGTCACCTAGGCTGGAGTGCAGTGGCATGATCTTGGCTCACAATAACCTCCACCCCCCAGGTTTAAGCTATTCTCCCTGCCTCAGCCTCCCAAGTAGCTTGGGATTACAGGCATGTACCACCATGCCTGGCTAATTTTTGTACTTTTAGTAAGACGGGGTTTCACCATGTTGGCCAGGCTGATCTTGAACTCCTGACCTCAGGTGATCTGCCCGCCTTGGTCTCCCAAAGTGCTGGGATTACAGGCGTGAGCCACCATGCCCAGGCAATATTTTTAAATAAAAATAAAAGACTAAATAAAATGGACGGGCACGGTGGCTCACGCCTGTAATCCCAGCACTTTGGGAGACCAAGGTGGGTGAGTCATGAGACCAGCCTGATCAACATGGCAAAACCCCGTCTCTACTAAAAATACAAAATTAGCCAGGCATGGTGGTGCATGCACCTGTAATCCCAGCTACTCGGGAGACTGAGGCAGGAGAGTTGCTTGAACCCGGGAGGTGGAGGTCGCAGTGAGCCCAGATCGTGCCATTGCACTCCAGCCTGGGCAAGAAGAGCAAAACTCCATCTCAAAAAAAAGCAAGCAAGCACTGAGCATGGATCTCGGCAAGAGTTCATACACCCTCTTCTTTCCCAGCCTCTTTGGAATTCAGTGAAACTGGGCCCTCATCCTGGCTCAGAAACCCCGGATGTATCACCTTCCCTTCCCCAGCCTCAGTTTGCCCATCTGGAAAATGGGGTCACCACGGGGGGTGTGAGGCTGAAGTCAAGCCCTTGGCGGGTGCAGCACAGAGAATGTGCACAAGCTTGCGACCAGCGTCCTCTGGGTTCGGGGCGTCTTCACCTCGGCAGGGGTGTCAGAGTCGCCTTGTGCCCTGGCAGGTCAGTGGGCAGGCCACCCCTTGGATTGTGACACCCACTCCTCTCACCTGTGACCTCATCCCCAGAGCAGCCAGTAGGAACCCTGAGGGGTCTGTGAGGTCACTCATTCCATTCACAGACTTATCGGCGGGCAGCAGCCACCACTCCCCTCTATCCCCAGGACCTAGAGGGACGCAGGGTGTCGGGAACAGAGGACAGTCCAGGTGCTGACCCTGGGAGGCCAGGACCAAGACCCAAGTCCCGTGGGCAGGAGGCGTTCTGGGAGGTCCTTCATTCAGCGGTTCCGGGAGGTCCGGGAAGCCTGCGGCCTGGCTGGGGCAGCGTCCATGTCACCAGGCCACCATGGTCCTGGGCTGGCTGCTGCTTCTGGTGATGGCTCTGACCCCAGGCACGACGGGTGTCAAGGACTGCGTCTTCTGTGAAGTCACCGAGTCCACGCAGTGTCCCGGCACCCCCATGCGCTGTGGTGATGATGAGGACTGCTTCACGGGCCACGGGGTCGCCCCAGGCACTGGTTCCGTCATCAACAAAGGCTGCGTGCAAGCCACCAACTGCGGCCGTGAGGAGCCCGTCAGCTACAAGGGCGTCACCTACAGCCTCACCACCACCTGCTGCGCTGGCCGCCTGTGCAACACAGCCCCAGGCCCCGCCAGCAGCCAGACGGCAGGGGCCACCACCAGCCTGGCACTGGGGCTGGGCATGCTGCTTCCTCCACGTTTGCTGTGACCAACAGGGAGGACAGGGCCTGGGGCTGGTCTCCCAGATCCACAACCCCCCATGTCCCCATCTCCTTCGCCCACGAAATGGCCAGAGAGGCCATCCCTTCCAAGGCTATCCACCAGGAGCCCGGTGCTCGGAGAAGCACCCCCAGGCCTGATTGAGCGGCAGGGGAGCGCGGCCTGTGGGTCTGATGGTTCTAAGAGGCAGAGCTTCTCACATTTCAATCAGGATGCTTCTTTCCATTGACGGCATCTTAGAGTCCACGAAATATGGTAAAAGATATATATATATATATATATATCATAATAAATGACAGCTGATGTTTATGGAGCATTCTTTTTCTTTCTTTTTTTTTTGTAGAGATAAGGTCCATCTATGTTGCCCAGGCTGGTCTCGGATTCCTGGGCTCAGTTGATCCTCCCACCTCAGCCTCCCAAAGTATTGGGATTACAGGTGTGAGCCACGGCACATGGCCAAGCCCGTCTTAGGTCACATGACCTCACGCAAAGTTGGGAAGGTCAGCAGTCTTCCAAACATCCCAGTCTCAATTCCACTGGTTTTCAAAATGTGGTCCTTGGACCAGAAACAGCAGCAGCCTCAAGTGGGAAGTCACAGAAAATGCAGATTCTCAGGCCCTGTTCTAGGCACGGTGAACAGGAGAGGGCACGGGAGTGTGTTGTTTTCTCTCCTTCCTTCCTTCCTCCCTCCCTCCCTTCCTTTCCTTTCTTTTGAAACTCTGCTACCCACGCTGGAGTGCAATGGTGCAATCTTGGCTCACTGCAGCCTCCACCTCCCGGGCTCAAGCGATCCTCCCACCTCAGCCTCCTGAGTAGCTGGGAATACAACTGCGCACCACCACGCCTGACTCATTTGCATTTAATTCTTGTAGAGACGGGGTCCCGATGTGTCACCCAGGCTGGTCTTGAGGTCCTGGGCTCAAGCGATCTTCCCACCTCAGCCTTCCAGAGTGCAGGCATGAGCTACCGTGCCTGGCCTTCTTCCTTTTTCTTTCTCCTTTTCCATTTCCTGAATTATCTGCTACAAAAGCTGTGCTTTAACAAGCGCTCCCAGGGCTCGTGGTGCGCGCACAGGGTGGAAAGCCACTGATCCTGCGCAGAGTTCTCAGCTGGGCACTTCTGCTCCCCAGCAGGCAGCCGTGCTGTCTGAAGAGGTTTTCAGTTGCTCTAATTGGCAGGGACACTGCAGGTGTGGGGCGTGTGATGCCACTGCCCTCTGCTGGGCCGAGGCTGAAGATGCCACGCAATCTCCCACAATGCACACAGCAGCCCCGCAGCAAAGACTCAGCCCACCCAAGCGTGGGTGCTCACCCTGTTGAGGGACCTGGTTCCAGAGGCTCTAACCCTATCAGCCCTTGATGTAGAGGGGGAAACCAAGGCACTGATGGGTGAAGCAAGTTGCCTGAGGCCACACAGCGAGGAACTGATAGAGCTAGAATTTGAAAAGTCTGATCCCGGAGGTCACATGCCTCCCCTCCCACACTGTGCTGTGACCCTATGAGGTAGGTGCTGTTATTATTTGGAGTTTCTGTTTTTGTGTGTTTTTTTGAGACTGAGTCTCACTCTGTCTCCCAGGCTGGAGTGCACTGGCAAGATCTTGGCTCACTGCAGCCTCCGTCTCCTGGGTTCAAGTGATTCTCCTGCCTCAACCTCCCAAGTAGCTGGGGAGACGGGGGTGTCACCATGTTGGCTAGGTTGGTCTTGAACTCCTGACCTCAGCTGAGCCGCCTGCCTTGGCCTCTTAAAGTGCTGGGATTACAGGCATGAGCCACCATGCGGGGCCTTTTTTTTTTTTTTTTTTTTTTTTTTCTTTTTGAGATGGAGTTTCGCTCGTCACCCAGGCTAGAGTGCAATGGCGCAATCTCAGCTCACTGCAACCTCCATCTCCCGTGTCCAAGCGATTCTTCTGCGTCAGCCTCCCGAGTAGCTGGGATTACAGGTGCCCACCACCACACCTGGCTAATTTTTATATTTTTAGTAGAGATGGGGTTTCACCGTATTGACCAGGGCTGGTCTCAGACTCCTGACCTCGTGATCCACCCACCTGGACCTCCCAAAGTGCTGGGATTACAGGCGTGAGCCACCGCGCCTGGCCTAGGTGGAGTTATTTACCGAAGGCAGAGCTTAGATCCCAATCCAGGTGCTCCTGATTTTCAACAAACCCCACCCCCAAACTTTGCCCTTTTTTCCAAATGAGAAAACACAGGGTCAAAGAGAAACAGATTTACCCAAGGCCACTCGACGGGTCAGCACCAGGGCCGGCCCCAGCACCCACCTCCTCCCCAGGGAAGGATCTTTCGCCCCCATTATAAAGGTAAGAAAAGAGAGGCCTGGGTAGGGGCTGCCAGCTGGCCTCTGAACACACGGAGGGAGAGTGGAGTACAGGACGCCGGGAGGTGGGGGGCGGGGTGGGGGCTACACCTGTAGGATCCTGAGATGACCCTCTCGCCGTCCAGCAGCACAAACTTCTCCCGCATGGCGCCGCTCACCTGCCGTCGCCAGCGGCTCTGGAAGCTGCAGCCCCGCACGACGCGGGTATCCACGTTCTGTTGGTGTGGGGAGTGGAGGCGCACCCTTGCTGAGGCCCCCGCCATGGATTCAGGGTCCCTCCAGGCTGGTTCTACCAGATAGATCTGTCCAAGGCTGGGCGCGGTGGCTCACGCTTGTAATCCCAGCACTTTGGGAGGTAGAGGTGGGTGGTTCACCTGAGGTCAGGAGTTCGAGACCAGCCTGGCCAACATGGCGAAATCCCGTCTCTACTAAAATTACAAAAATTAGCTGGGCGTGGTGGCGCATGCCTGTAATCCCAGCTGTTGTGGAATCTGAGGCAGGAGAATCATTTCAACCCGGAAGGCAGAGGTTGCAGTGAGCCAAGATCAGACCACTGTACTCCAGCCTGGGCGACAGAGCAAGACTCCATCTCTCTCTCCCCCCACCAAAAAAGAAGTAGTATCTGTCTCAGCTTCTTCAGAGCCACTGATACTGACTCTCAGGCATTTCTTGGGGATACCCCAAACTCAGTGACTCGACCCCTCAGGAATGCCCACTCCTACTTCCCCACTGCTGCAGGCATCAGATCCACCGCCCCTGCTAGCATCCATCTCAATGGCCCGGGGCTCCATGGAAGGGTCTCCCCCCCCACCGCCCCCAAGCCAGGGGAATGGGGACTTATGGGTCCCCCCGTCCCAACCCCTACCTCTGTGGCCCACGGGTTCACCCCGAGCTGCTGGGCCAGTGCCAGGAAGGCAGGCAGCTGCTGGTAGTCCAGAAGCAGGTAGACAGGTACCCATCGGCGCGTGGCGGCGTTCACCAAGTCCAAAAGCAGGTCTGGGTCAGTGAAGACGTCCATGACCACGGCCACCAGCTGGGGGTGGGGGAGGGGAGGTGGATGTGTGAACCGAGCCTGGCTGGGTGGGGGGAGGTGGGTGTGTGAACCGAGCCTGGCTGGGTGGGGGGAGGTGGATGTGTGAACCGAGCCTGGCTGGGGGACAGTCAGAGGGCGTGGGAAGCCTGATGTCTGGGACCTGGAAGTAAAGTGCTCTGAGGTCTGGGAGTTTCACATTCACAGGGGCTAAGGGGAGACCCTAGACACACACACTGCTGTTCAACTAGCATCTACATGCGAATGAGGAAAACGCTGCCTCTCCACAAGAACCCCAGCCCCTCCTCGAGATTCCCGGCCCCTAAATGCTGGAAAACTGTCATCGCACATCACATGTTTGCTTGGTTTTTTGTTGGTTGCTTGCTTTTTGTTTCTTTGAGAGGGAGTCTTGCACTGTTGCCAGGGCTGGAGGGTGATGGCACGTTCTCGGCTCATCGCAACCTCTGCCTCCCGGTTCAAACCATTCTCCTGCCTCAGCCTCCCGAGTAGCTGGGATTACAGGCACGCACCACACCTGTAATCTAATTTTTATACCTTTTGTAGAGACGGGGTTTCTTTATGTTGGCCAGGATGGTCTCGAACTCCTGACCTCAGGTGATCCACCCACCTCGCCCTTCCGAAGTGCTGGGATTACAGGCATGAGCCACCACAAGGGGCCCCTATTTCTGAGATTAAGGATGGGTCTGGGGAGGTAGGCACCTGAGTCCTCGGGCTGGAAGGTGTGGATTCCTGGGTCCCAGAGGTATAGGTCCTTTAGGGTAGGGGTGTGGAGTTGGAAGTCCTGGGAGGACAAGGGAGAGACGCCTGGGTCCCCATTCTGGGGCTGGAATATGAGGACATCCCAGTCTGGGGAATGGACACCGGGTCCCCACGACACCCACCTTGTGAGCAGCCTGGATCTCCTGCCGCACCAGCTCCTTGAGGGGTGGCTTGCCCTCTCCGGGGGGCTGTGTGTACAGCTGCGCCCGGGTGATGCCCTTCCACGCAGAGTCCACTGGCCAGCCCAGCCGGAGGACGGGCGCTGGCTGCTCCGACTGCCCAGGCCAGTAGCTCAGGCTGCTCGCGTCCCCATCGGCGGTGGTGGCTCCCACTACCGTCCCGCCGGGCTCCTGCCTGGCCGCTGTCCAGTCTTCGGCCGCTGCTGCCAATCCCTGGACCTCATCCGCACTGAGGAAGGGCTGCAGCTCCTCGCGCCGCACGCAGGCCTGGAACGCCTCCGCACCCTCGCTCAGTAGAGCCTCCAGGGCCAGCCGCTGGCCCTCAGAATATAGGAAGCCGGAGCTGGCCTCCGTCAGGGGCAGCACCCCGGGACCGGAGTCCACTTCTTCCAGTGCCGCCAGCTGGGAGGCAGCCATCGGGGTCACTCGGGTGGGAGGACTGACTGTGAGAGACTGGGTCCCCAGGGGTCTGGCTGTCTTTAGGGACTGTGACCATCTGGGGGTTCCGATAGGCAGACCTTATGTGGTCGGCCTCCAGAGGGGCCCTGCAGATATCCAAATGGCTCCCAGCAGCAGGCCCTCCCTCACCGTCCTGACAATCACACTGCCCCAATAAGTGACTACCCAACGTGTCAGGCCACTCAGACCCGCCACCTGCCTGTGTCCAGCCGGCACCATCCCTGGCTGGCCCTCCGTAACCTTCCCGCCAGCCGTCTCTGCGCGTCAGGCTGACCTCTTGACACCATCCCCAGCTGTGTGACCCATCAGCTGGCCACCTCTGCTCAGCCACACAACAGCCTCCAACCCACCGGTCACACAGAGCCCCACCAGACCCTTCAGCTGTCCTGAATTTGGTCAGGCTGACCAGTTGATCATCTCCAGGCAACAGGCTGTCTGCCTGTCTCCAATCACCCAAAGGTCCTTAAAGGCATGGCAGGCTGCCTGCCTGCCCCCCCGCCAAGAGTACGACTGACTGTCCTTCCACTGTCTGGCAAACACCAATGGCTTCCAACTGACAGTCCCCGTATCAGACCACCTGGTAGAGCATCTGTCTCCGGCTGAAGCAGTCGGCCCCGTGAATTTCTCCTGCTCACCAGCTCTCATCCGCAGACCAGCCAAGACACCTCCCCATTGGACCTGCTTGCTCAACCTTGGAGAAACGTCCGAGGCTCGGCAAACCCTTCCCTACCCTGTCACTGGAGGACCCTGCTCCCTGGACCCTCAAGTCTCCCTCCCGCTGCTGCACTGGAGGGTGACGTGCGCTACAGGGGTCTCCATGACTGTGGGATGCGTCTGTGACCTCAGCTGCCCATCTAGGCGTGAGGGCCGCCTAAGCAGCCACCGTCCTCTGATCTGTGGAGAGCCCTGACCAAGCAGTCCCCCGCCTGGTTTCTACCTAAATCCTGTCTCCTCCCACCAGCTGCTCGGCCGCTTCTTCCTGGATGGGGACCACTCTGTTGTAACTTGCCCTGCCTCTCTCTCAAGCCCCAGTGGCCTCCTTGAGGCTGCTGACCCAACCTCGAGGACCCTGAACCCTTGATGCCTGCAAACCAGCAGCCCGTCATTCCAATCCCAGCAACCCAGGTGGCTGTTTCCTCCAGACCGCAGCGGGGAGCTGCAAAGAGAAGGAAGGAGTCAAGCCTGACGAACCTCCCCGTCCCACCCCCATCCATCCCCCTTGCCGGGGGCCGTCCACACCGGGAGAGCCCGGCTCCAGGGCCTCCCTTCGGTCACTTGCCTTTCCCGAGGACGTGGGCTGCAGCTCACCGGCTTCTGCTGTGCTTTCCTGGCCTCTGGACTCAGCCCGAAATCCAGGGAGCCCGGCCCCTTGAGCAAACACAGGAGGGTCCCCACAGGAGGTCCGGGGGTGTGGCTCACTTTTACTTCGGGAGTGCTGGCTCACCACTCAGTGAGGGGCCGCGGGATTGGCCCTTCAGACTCCAGCTTCCAGGTGTTGGGGGGAGGAGTTGGGAGCGCCTCACCTGTTCCCAGGCAGCCCCTCCCTTCCCGCAGCCCTGCCTGCACCCCAAACTTCCTGGTCCACACCCCACCCACCATCCCAGCACCAAGGAGGGGCGGGTGTGGCCGATCCAAGGAAGCCGACACCTGCCACCTGGCTGTTGGAAAGGAGGCAGGGAGCTTCTGGGCGGTGGGGGCAGGAGGAGGGCTGGGCCCCTCCCCGACGCTGGTCATTGGCTCGGCTTTCCGGTCCCCAATGCATTCTCACCCGCAGGTGCCAAGTCCCAACCCATCCCCCAATCACACACACAGGGGACTGTCCACATCCAAAATCTTTTTATTAAGAGGGCAGGATCCAGGGTTAGTTTTTGTAGCCTCGGCTGGCCCGTCGGCCTCTGGCGCGCTCGAACTTCCGGCCCTTGGAGCGAACGTAGGGTCTGTGGGGAGAGGGGAGGCATTGTGGAGGGGCGAAGTAACCCCACAAGCCCATCACATTCAGCCCCAGGAGGGTCAGTGGCAGGACCTGCCCTGCCACCCGGGTGGTCCTCAGCCTGGGCAGCAGAGGCCGGCAAACCACAGCCTCCCCCGCCCAGGAAATGCCTGCTGGGGCCTGGAAAACACAGCTCTGAGCAGTACTGAAGGGAAAAGCAGACAAGAGGGTTCCAGAAGGCCTGGGGCTGGCCGAGTCTGGGGGAGGGGCTGGGGTTGGGGGCCAATGCTCACTTGGTGTGGCTGTGCGGAGTTCCTGGGGCCTTGCCAAAATGCCGGTACACCTCTCGGCCCTTGCGAGGACCTAGCGAGGGGAAAGGAGAACGGGCTGAGACCGGGATCTGGCGCCCGGCAGCCACACAGCCCAGGCCGACCTCACCGCCTAAAGCACTCACCGGAGAGCAGGACGGTCCCGCAGCCCTTGGGGGAGTCCAGGGCCAGCTGGTCGAAAGTGAGGATCTTGCCCCCCGCCTTTAGGATACGGCTGCGGGCCCGGCTGGTCACACGCAGCGCACATACCTGGTGGAAAGGACAAGGATGGCGGGTCAGACCCCTGTGTGGTCACCCAGGGGCTGCCGGGACGCACCCTCCGTCCACTGCCTCGGCGTAGCAGAGCCCTGGTAACCAATGCCATCAGTGATTACCCGGAGCGCCCGGGCCGACAGCAGCCGTTCTCAACACCATCTCTAGAAACTTTTCACACCACATCCCTGGTGTTACGCTAGGACTAACAGCAAGGAAAATGGGGCAAAAAGACCTGTTCAGAGGTGACAATGGAGTTCAGACTTGTCCCAGGCTGTTGGCCTCTAGGGGCCACCACTAAGAGTTTATAACTTGCCCCCGAAGAAGCTTGCCCAGGGGACCTCGCCACCCCCAAGGCCAGAGACAACCCACACCCATCCCCAAAGCCACTCAGATGGGCAGGATGCTTGTCACCAGAGGTGGCAAGACTGAGGATGGACCAGCACAGCGGAGCGAGGATTTGATGGGTCTGCCCCTGACCCTGACCCCCGACCGGCTCACCTTCAGTTTCGGAACCTCCTGAACGCGCACGTCGTCCGTCACGGTCCCCACAACCACGGCGGTTTTGTTTTCCCGGCCAGGAAGCTTCATCTTCCGGATCTGGGGGTGAGAAGGATGCACACCGTAAGTCCACCTGGTGTTGACGTCCAGCCCCGCTGCAGGCATCCTGGACCACGACAGCTGTGCCCACTAACGGGACCCCCCACTCCACTCAACCCACACCTCTCAAACCCCACAGGCCTCCTCTCAGGTCCAGCTGGGGAAATCTCCAGGTAAAAAAAAAAATGCAGACTGTTCAAGAGGGGCTCCCTCAGCAGGGCTTTCAACCTAAAACTCAGTTATGACTTGGAGCCTTGGGGAAATGTCCTGAAGCCACCAAGAGACTTCCACCTCACAATGAGAAGGAGAGGAGGCCCAGGAGCCTCGCCAGCTGCCCAGGGACATCACTGGCTGGCTGAGACAAAGCCCAGGTCGCTCCTGCAGAGCTCCCATTCCTGCCTCCCTTCTGGACAGACAAGACCCCGCGGCTCCCAGGTCCACTGTGCTCTCCGGTCCAGTCACTCACCATTCGGGAAAGGGACAGAGGTGGCCGGTTGGTGCGACTCATAAACAACCTCTTCAGCACGACCTGGTTAAATGTGGAGTTGGTTCGCCTGGCCAGAAACCTGTACAGCTGGAGGAAGGAAAGACGGTGAGAAGCCGGGACAGCTTTCCAGCAAAGGGGCAAACATAGGATGATCTGGACTAAAAAAAAGCTTTATCCCTTCCCCCAACCCACTGAGCTAGTGGGAGAGAGCTGGCCCGGGACCTAGAAAATCCCTGCTCCATCCTGAAGCTCTACACAGCCTAAAGGCCGAAAATACAAGCGCTTGGAGGCCCCGGGACAAAATGCGAGCCCACCCGGCAGGCCCCTGGGAGAAGCCTAGTGCCGGCAACAGAATAGAGGATCTGAAAGTCACAGACCTGGGGTGACCCTCCCCAAAAGACCTCAGGGCCCAAGCTCACCTTGACCAACAGCCTCAGGTAGATATCCTGGCTCTTGGGCTCCTTGCGCCGAACCTTTCGGTCCTTGTTGTGACGGATGTCAACTCCCTGCGGGAGTGAAGCAGCAACCACGGGCCCATTATTATTACTTCTGGCCAATTATTACTTATTTCTGAAATTGAGAGCTGGGTCCCAAGCCCAGTTCTGGACCCACCAGCTCAAATCCCAGGCCCACCACCAGGAGACTTCTGGGCTGCCACCGACCCTTCGGTAAAAAGGGGTTACTTACAAAGCCTTCAACCCATGGCACACAGAACCTTGAAATGTCTTAACACAGCAGTCATAACTTAATACAGAAACCTTAATTCTTTACAACTTATATTTTACAACAATGTTAAGTTCTCAAATCTGGGTCCCATACCTAGAGGATGACCAAAAATATAAAACCAGTGGCAGTAATGATGGAAAAGAATCATTCTTCGGAACTTCGTAATACTTCTAGAACGACCTCTCCTACAGTATCAATCTAACAACCCTTACCAAGCAGTATCCTTTTAAAAATTGTTTTTAAAGTGGAGACAGAGTCTCACTATACCGGCCAAGCTGGGCAAGGAATCCTCCCAGCTCGGCCTCCCAAAGCGTCAGGATTACAGGCGTGAGCCACGCACCAGGTTCCTACCTCACTGCTGCCTTTCTGAGTAACTTAAGTTTTTTAGACTGTGTTAGCAACTATTAAGAAAGTATTAATAGCTCCACTTTTTCAGCATTTCCTGTGTTTAAGACCCCGTAATGAGAATTTCCTACGGATTACTCTTCCCAAATTCACAAACTTATCAGATAGAATAACCGTGTACCCAATGAACAGTCAGACACTGGGGAAAAGGCTCTCAAAGCAACATTACAAGGTGGGAAAGGACCCGAGACTCAGAGGTCCGCCTATTCCCCAAACCCAGTTATCTGACTTCCGATCCTCCCACCCGCCGCGGGCCCCAACGAACCCAACCTTTCATCCTAGGAAGTGACAGGTCCGCATAGAGGCGGCAAAGCCAAGTAACTAAGAGTGGCTGCGGGGCCAGCCACCTGGGTCGGAATCCTGGCTCCACCACTTCCTGGCTTTGTGACCCCAGTTAGATCAGCCTCCTAGTACCTCGACTTGGTCATCTACTCAATGGGGGCGTTGGGCTATGACTCTGACCCATCCCTGCTCTCCTGGCCCCCAGAGCAGGCCCCAAGTCTCGGGAGTTGCCCCCTCTCGGCAGCCGCAGGGCCCCTGCAGCCCTCCGACACACCCCTAGCCCGAGACTGCAACGGATGGCAGCAGATTGTACAGCCTCGAACGCCGCAAAATGCACTCACCATGATGGCGCCTCCTGCTCCGTCAGGTCCGGAAAGAGAGAACGACTCCGGAGTGGGCGGGGAAAGCCTCCAGCGAGTGGTGCCGTCGTGACGTCACATGCGTGCGACGCGGCGCTCTACCACGATCCGGACGTCTCTGTGGTGAGCTGGACGACTGAGTAGTCGGGCGAAAACCGCTAAGAGCGGAGAACCAACCAAAGAGAAAGAACGGCAACGTCCAAGAGAGAAGGGCCAGCACGTCGGGGGCCTCTCTGGCCCTTCCCGGGCCCAGTTCTCGATAGTTGTCCGGAAGAAAGGGATCTGGGAGCGAGAAAGATGCGTGAAGCTAGGAGGACGCGTCGCGCGGTGACGCTCTGGCCCGATGCCGACGGCCTCTCAGTGGCTCTTGGAGGACCCGGCGGGCCGAGTGTTGGAGGTGAGGAGGCGGGGCTGGCAGAGCTAGTCCGGGCCTGTGGAAACCTCTGACCCCACGCTTCGGGCGTTTCCTTATCGGGTTCACCTCTGCCTTATCTCGCGCTGCATTTCGTAGGCGGAGCCGCTGCTTGGGAAGTCCTACTTAAGGTCTAACCCGAGACGATCTTGCTGCACGTCAATCTATAGCATCCTGTATTCCTGTCCTCTAAGTTCCGCTTTTCCTCCTCTTCCTGCCCCTAAATGGGCCCTTCCCTGACCTAGAAAGAGGGAGACAGAGTTTCAGCGGGGAGGAAGAGTGGAGACCCAATGGGTGGGAGGAGTGGAGGCCCAGAGAGCAGGACGGAGACCCAGGGAGCAGTAGAGGCAAAGAAAGATGGTGGGATGGGGCCTTGAAAGGCTGTCACCAAATTCACATCCTGGCTCTGCTTGTTACTAATGGGGTGACCTTGGGCAAGGCATTTAACTTCTCCGTGATCTTGGGAAAATATCACTTCATTTCTCTGGGCCTTACTCTCCTTATCCACAAAAACGGGATGATAGCAGGCCTGGCACACACAGTGTTTTCCAGGATTATGAAAGTTAAACAAACTGCTGAGGTCTATGTTCTTGCACATAATAGGTGCTTAATAAAAATTAGCTTTCACTCCTATCCTGTTATAGCACATATTGTGTGCAACCAGATGGACTGGCTGGGGCAGTAATGACATGACTTGTCTCCTCATTTTTTTGGTTGGTTGGTTTGTTTCTCCCAGGGAGGCCCCTGCCTCTTGGTTCTCAGGCACATTTTGCCTAGAAGGGCCTCCCTCCTGCAGTCGGCTCTCACTCATCTCTCCTCCACAGAGCTGAAGGTCGGGCCAGGACAGTAAGACCTGAGTCCTTGCTCCCACCAGCCTCCTATGGCTTAAGACCCAGGGCCAGGGTCCTGTTGATGTAACGGAGCAGAGGAGCAGCAGATGAATGGACACCTTGAAGCAGAGGAGCAGCAGGACCAGGTAAGGGACCGTCTGAAAGCCAAGATCCTCATACTGTGGAATGACAAAATCCAAAGCCCTGCTTTTTTTTTTATGAAAGATTGGAGGTCTGGAACGGTGGCTCATGCCTGTAATCCCCAGCACTCTCAGAGGCTGAGGCAGGCGGATCACCTGAGGCCAGGAGTTCGAGATCAACCTGGCCAACGTGGTGAAACCCTGTCTCTACTAAAAATACAAAAATTAGCGGGTCGTGGTGGTGTGTGCCTGTAATCCCAGCTACTCGGGAGGCTCATACAGGAGAATCCCCGCTTGAAGCGGGGAAGCGAAGGTTGCAGTGAGCCAAGATAGTGCTGCACTCCAGCCTGGGAGACTGACTCCATCTCAAAAAAAAAAAAAAAAAAAAAAAAGACAGGGTCTCACTCTTGCCCAGGCTGAGCACAGTGGCGCGATCACAGCCCACCGCAGCCACAATCTCCTGGGCTAAAGCGATCCTCTTACCTCGGCTTCCCAAGTAGCCTCCACCACGCCTGGCTAATTTTTTGAAAAAAAAAATTTTTTTTTTGAGGCGGAGTTTTGCTCTCGTTACCTAGGCTGGAGTGCAATGGTGAGATCTTAGCTCACCACAACCTTTACCTCCCAGGTTCAAGTGATTCCCCTGCCTCAGCCTCCCGAGTAGCTGGGATTACAGGCATGTGCCACCACTCCTGGCTAACTGTGTATTTTTAGTAGAGCTGGGGTTTCTCCATGTTGGTTAGGCTGCTCTTAAACTCCCGACCTCAGGTGATCCACCTGCCTCGGCCTCCCAAAGTGCTGAGATTACAGGTGTGAGCCACTGCGTCTGGCCAGTGTTCTGAATTTTTTTTTTTTTTTGAGATGGAGTTTCGCTCTTGTTACCCAGGCTGGAGTGCAATGGCATGATCCCGGCTCACTGCAACCTCCGCCTCCTGGGTTCAGGCGATTCTCCTGCCTCAGCCTCCTGAGTAGCTGGGATTACAGGCACGCACCACCATGCCCAGCTAATTTTTTGTTATTTTTAGTAGAGACGGGGTTTCACCATGTTGACCAGGATGGTCTCGATCTCTCGACCTTGTGATCCATCCGCCTCGGCCTCCCAAAGTGCTGGGATTATAGGCGTGAGCCACTGCGCCCGGCCTGTGTTTCGAATTTTTGTAGAGACAGGATCTCCCTCTGTTGCCCAGGCTGGTCTTGAACTCCTGGGTTTAAGGGATCCTCCCGCCTCAGGTCCAGCTGGGGAAATCTCCCAAAGTGTTGAGATTATAGGCATGAGCCACCGCCCCCAGCCTGGAAGCCCTTCTGTAAGTGATCTCAGATCTTCTCTCCAGGCAAGTGTCAATAGCTTTCTCCCCACTTCCCAGACAGGGCAGCTGAGGCCAAGAATTCAGGGGCTTTCCAGCAGTTACACAACTTCAGGGTCCTTTCTCCGTTTCCTCCTCCCTGTCCCCTCGTCTGTGTGACTCAGGCTCTGTGTTTGAATCTCAGCCTCTTTGCTCAGTGTCTCTGCCTTTCCTTCTCCCAGGGCCCCAAGCTCAGTTGCTGTGTCTCCTGTCTCTCAAGTCTCACTGCGTTTCTGTCCCCCTTTCTCTCTGCGTCATTCCTTGGCACATGTCTGGTGCCATGGCAACTGGGGGTTAAATGCAAGGTACATGATTTGGCAATAAGCAAACTTCTTCCTACATTTGTCTTTCTCTAGCGGGCTCTGTCTCTGTCTCCTAATGCATATATCTTTCTGTGCAATTCTATTTCTGAGTTTCCTGATAGGTACTTGCCTTTCTTTCAATTTCACCATGTATTTGCCTCTGCGTGTCTGTTAGTATTTTGACTTTCTCAGTTCGTCTCAGCCCCTGAGCTTCCAGTATTCTCTCCCTCCCTCACCTTTGACCTAGAACTACTGTCCCCATCTCTCTTTGTCTCTGCCTTGCCACGTGACTGGGTCATTCACTGGGCCGATGTTTATCTCATGCTGCAGCCTCCACTGTGGTAATAAGGTAAATAAGTCTGTGAGTTAATAAGCCTCTCCTTCCCGGCTTCCATTCCAGAAGTGTCTGTCATTTTCCGGGTTTTCTTGTATTTTTACCTTGAACATTCTCCATCCCACTGTTTTGATCTCGTTTGGATCTCTGCTGTTCTCTGTATCTCTCTGACTTTGCAATTGTCCGAAAAATAAACCCCCACTCTCCCTCGCCTCCTAGCTCTCTTACTGCCTCATCCAGCTTCTCCGGGTCTCTGCTTTGCTCTGTGTCTGGATCTCTGGGCCTTTGTTACTCGTGTTAGGGTCTCTGTCTTTGCGTCTAAAGACCTCCTCCCCCACGCCCCTTTTCTTTTGTGAATTCAATAGATGGGACAGGCCCACTTTCCCTTAACAAAGATGGCGACAGCGGCGCTGGCTGCGGGGCCGTGACGTCGTCTCCGCTTCTCGTCTGCCCTCACCTACGATGGCGGTCAGCCCCTCGAAACGCGAGGCCCCGCCCAGTTCTCGGCCTCTCGCGCGGCCGGTCCCTGCGCCAAGCTCGGGAGCTGGCTGGCCCCGCCCCCCACTCCCTTGTATTGGTGCGGCTCAGGCCGGCTGCACGGCCATTGGTTGACCGAGTGCACACCCTCCCCCCCACCACCCCTGGGTCTGATGGGGGGCAGTTGGTGCTGACTTGCGGGGCCGCCTGGAGGAGGACCCGGCGTGTGAGGAGGGTGCGGGGGTTGGGGCAAGGACCGGAGTCTAGGGGACTGAGGGACCAAGAGGAACAGAAACGCAGGCCCGGGGCTGCGGCACCGGGGTGGGAGATGGAAATGGAAAACCTGGGCCAGGACTGAACTGGGTTCTGGAAATAGAGTGGAGATGGCGGTTCGAGGGCCCAGGGCCAGACACGCAGGCCTATGGACTGGGGACCAATGGATGGAGATTCAGGTCCAGGTCTCGGGGACCCAGGGACAGAAGACCCAAGTCCAGTACTGGAGAACATCTGGGGCTCTGTGCTTGAGCCTGATTTGAGGTTCCCATCATAAGGCCAGGGCAGGTTTGGCGGTGAAGCAGACACCCTGGGCCCGAGGGAACCCCGCGGGGCAGGGGGGCAGATGTAATTCCTAAGGGTGAGTCCACAGGCGGGGGATGTGTCCCGCTGGGCCTGGGGAATGTGAGTGGCAGGGCGGGGCGGGGCAGTGGGGAACAAAGGTGAGCAGAAAAGAGGAGGAGGCAGAAGCCGGGCAGAGGGCAGGGAGAGGGCCTGTGGGGAAGGGACCTCAGTCCTGGCTCCCACCCGCTCCCTGGAGAGCAGGCAGCCAGACACCCAGGTCAGTGCTCAGGGACCAGCTCTTGCCCCCTGCCCCTTGCAGTTGCTCGCATGTGGCCCCTCTCGGACCCTGTAGTCCCTCTGTCACATCCCTTCTCTCCAGCCGTCCCCATGCCTGCTTCCTATCCCTGCTATTTGCTCTTGCTTCCAGCTCTGTCTTGCCTTTCTCATTGGGGTGAGAAACGCTTACTCTTCTCAGTACCTTTCATCAGCGGGTTTCACCTCACTGACCCTGTCTGTCTCCTCTTAGTGTTTCTCTGGCTCTCAGACCGTATCTCTGTCGCATTTGTGATTTTTTCACTGTAGTTACCCTCTGCACCTGGAGATAACTCTGCTGGTGACCGGGGACAGGGGTGGGGGGGGGATGTCTTTCATTCTTTGCATGTCTGTTTCTGCATATCCAATCCCACTATCCATTCCTCTTCCTGTGCCTTCTTAAAGCCCTTTATCATCACCCAACCCCCTGTGTATTTCAAACCTTTCTCTGGTTTATCTAGTCCTATGAAGTTGAGGATTTGGGGCTGTTTTATCCCCTGCTGTGTTTGCTAGGCCTAGCACTGTGATTGGCACATAGAGGGTACTGAATACTTCCTAGGGAATAAATGGTTGAATGTTTGCATGCCCGGATCCCTGGGCACCCCCGGGATGCTGGCCTTCCTGCCCAGCTGGCCTCTGTCCCTCATCCTCCAGGTCTGCCTGCACCTGTCTGAGCCTGTCTGTCTCTGGTGCTCCTGTCTCACCTGCCCCCGCCCCTCATTGTCTCCTCCTGTCCACAGGCCCTCCTCTCCCTCCCCCTGCTATGGGGTCCTCAGTTCTGACCCCTTCCTTCCTCCCTTCCCACAGAGGCCGGACCAGGAGCTGACCGGGAGCTGGGGCCACGGGCCTAGGAGCACCCTGGTCAGGGCTAAGGCCATGGCCCCGCCACCACCGCCACTGGCTGCCAGCACCCCGCTCCTCCATGGCGAGTTCGGCTCCTACCCAGCCCGAGGCCCACGCTATGCCCTCACCCTCACGTCACAGGCCCTGCACATACAGCGGCTGCGCCCCAAACCTGAAGCCAGGCCCCGGGGTGGCCTGGTCCCATTGGCTGAGGTCTCAGGCTGCTGCACCCTGCGAAGCCGCAGCCCCTCGGACTCAGCGGCCTACTTCTGCATCTACACCTATCCTCGGGGCCGGCTCGGGGGCCGGCGCAGAGCCACCCGCACCTTCCGGGCAGATGGGGCTGCCACCTACGAAGAGAACCGTGCCGAGGCCCAGCGCTGGGCCATCGCCCTCACATGTCTGCTCCGAGGACTGCCGCTGCCTGGGGACGGGGGTGAGGCGCTGGGCAGCTGCTCTGTCCTGGGGCCACCTTGGTGTCTCTGCAGAATTTCCTCTACAGGCAGCTGTGTCTTTGTTTTTCTGTCTGAGTGATGTATCTCTCTGGATCCATTCAGAGTGATACACAGGGATGGGTTACAGAAGGAACAAAAACACAGGCAGAGGCTGGGCGGTGGCTTATGCCTGTAATCCCAGCACTTTGGGAGGCCGAGGCAGGTGGATCATCTGGGGTCAGGAGTTCAAGATCAGCCTGACTAACATGGTGAAACCCCGTTTCTACTAAAAATACAAAAAATTAGCTGGGCATATGGTGGTGCATGCCTATAATCCCAGCTACTCGGGAGGCTAAGGCAGGAGAATTGCTTGAACCCAGGAGGCGGAGGTTGCAGTAAGCCGAGATCGTGCCATTGCACTCCAGCCTGGGTGACAAGAGCGACACTCTGTCTCAAAAGAAAAACAAAACAAAACAAAAAAAAACAAAGGCAGAGGCCAGGTGCGATTGCTCACACCTGTAATCCCAGCACTTTGGGAAGCCGAGCCGGGTAGATCACCTGAGGTCGAGAGTTCAAGACCAGCCTGGCCAACATCGTGAAACCCCGTCTCTACTAAAAATACAAAAATTAGCTGGGTGTGGGGACAGATGCCTGTAATCCCAGCTACTCAGGAGGCTGAGGCAGGAGAATCACTTGAACCCGGGAAGCGGAGGTTGCAGTGAGCCAAGATTGCACCATTGCACTCCAGCCTAGCAACAAGAGCGAAACTCTGCCACAAGAAAAACAAAACACAGGCAGAGAAAAATGATTTGCATCTGCTGCTCCCTTGCTAGATTTATGTTTCCATTCCTACCCTCTTCCCCCTTGGTGGGTCTTGACCACACGTGAGTCAGGGCTCCCAGGCTGGTGAGAGCAGGCTGAGACAGGACCAGGCACCACTCAGAGTGATGAGTGCCAACAGAGATCTCCTGGTGCATCTCTGGAATTCAGAGGTGGCATCTAATCCGGCCTAGGGCCCCTAAGGGCTGGAAGTAACCTGATCCTGGGTAACAGGTGTGCAGGGTGAGGAAAGTAAGAACCACAGCTCCCATGCCCTCCTGCCACACATGAGGACAAAGGGCATTTGGTTTCACACCCAAGCTCTGCCTTTGTCTCAGCACCTGGGCTGTGGGGCAGGGCTGTATACCCAGACCTGGCCAGATGTGGGCTGGGAGAAAAGTCCTGGCAGGTTCCAGGTGCCAGCCTTCCAATTTCGTTGGGGGCTGTTTGAAGGGACTGTTTATATGGTGGGGGGCCTGGGTCGCTGGCCTTTGCAGACTCTAACCTCTCTCCACAGAGATCACCACTGACCTGCTACCTCGGCCGCCCCGGTTGCTCCTATTGGTCAATCCCTTCGGGGGGCGGGGCCTGGCCTGGCAGTGGTGTAAGAACTACGTGCTGCCCATGATCTCTGAAGCTGGGCTGTCCTTCAACCTCATCCAGACAGGTAAGGTCCAGTGATAATGGGAGTTGGGGGCTGGGACAACTGAGTCGTACGGGAGTGAAGTGATGGGTGGGACGGCCTGCCTAACGGCTCGGTATCCCACTTCAGAACGACAGAACCACGCCCGGGAGCTGGTGCAGGGGCTGCGCCTGAGTGAGTGGGATGGCATCGTCACGGTCTCGGGAGACGGGCTGCTCTATGAGGTAGAGCAGGAGCACCCTGCCCCTAGCCCTGGGCCCTGGGGGGCTGCAGAGGCTGCCACCGGGACCCAGGCTTCTGGTCTCCCACCTTCCAGGTGCTGAACGGGCTCCTAGATCGCTCTGACTGGGAGGAAGCTGTGAAGATGCCTGTGGGCATCCTCCCCTGCGGCTCGGGCAATGCGTTGGCTGGAGCAGTGAACCAGCACGGGGGGTAGGTTGAGGGTACCACAAAGGGAGGGATGAGTTCCTCCTGGGTGATTGGGGCCCCTACATCTCCTACTCAGCCAAACCCACAGTCAGTCAAGTAAATCAGCCTGCCTGTGGGATGCCTCACCCCACCTCCTGGACATTTTTTGCCTATCTGGTTCCCAGCTGTATCCCTAGTGCCTAGAACTCTGCCTGGCATGGGAGGCACTCAGTGAATGTGTAGGGAGCAAACAAAAGAGATGACCGGGAACCTGGTCCCATAAGCAGTTGCCTGGAGGTGGCCCCATGGCTGCGGTGGGCCCAGGCCATGGCCTCTGGTCTCACTGTCACCTGCTTCCCTGCCTGTCTCTCTCCCCGACCCGTTTGCTCCTTCCCTCTGTGTGTCCGTCTTTCTCGGGCTGTGAAGGTTTGAGCCGGCCTTGGGCCTTGACCTGCTGCTCAACTGCTCACTGTTGCTCTGCCGGGGCGGTGGCCATCCGCTGGACCTGCTCTCCGTGACGCTGGCCTCAGGCTCCCGCTGTTTCTCCTTCCTGTCTGTGGCCTGGGGCTTCGTGTCTGATGTGGATATCCAGAGCGAGCGCTTCAGGGCTCTGGGCAGTGTCCGCTTCACACTGGGCACGATGCTGGGCCTTGCCACATTGCATACCTACCGCGGACGCCTCTCCTACCTCCCTGCCACTGTGGAACCCCCTTCGCCCACCCCTGCCCATGGCCTGCCCCGTGCCAAGTCGGAGCTGACCCTGACCCCAGACCCAGCCCCGCCCATGGCCCACTCACCCCTGCATCGCTCTGTGTCTGACCTGCCCCTTCCCCTGCCCCAGCCTGCCCTGGCCTCCCCTGGCTCCCCGGAACCCCTGCCCATCCTGTCCCTCAATGGTGGGGGCCCAGAGCTGGCCGGGGACTGGGGTGGGGCTGGGGATGCTCCGCTTTCCCCGGACCCACTGCTGTCTTCACCTCCTGGCTCTCCCAAGGCAGCTCTACTCTCGCCCGTCGCCCAGGGACCCCCTGTTATTCCCCCATCCTCTGGGCTCCCACCTCCCACCCCTGATGGCCGGGTATCGACCTCCACCTGCGGCCCGCCCGACCACCTGCTGCCTCCTCTGGGCTCCCCACTGCCTCCAGACTGGGTGACGCTGGAGGAAGACTTTGTGCTGATGTTGGCCATCTCGCCCAGCCACCTGGGCGCTGACATGGTGGCAGCTCCGCACGCGCGCTTCGATGACGGCCTGGTGCACCTATGCTGGGTGCGTAGTGGCATCTCTCGGACTGCGCTGCTGCGCCTCTTCCTGGCCATGGAGCGTGGTAGCCACTTCAGCCTGGGCTGTCCGCAGCTGGGCTACGCCGCGGCCCGTGCCTTCCGCCTAGAGCCGCTTACGCCACGCGGCGTGCTCACGGTGGACGGGGAGCAGGTGGAGTATGGCCCGCTACAGGCGCAGATGCACCCTGGCCTCGGTACACTGCTCACTGGGCCTCCTGGCTGCCTGGGGCGGGAGCCATGAAACTAACCAAGCTTGGAACCCGCCGGGGGCGGGGCCTACATTCCAAGGGGGCGCAGCCCGAGCTAGGGGGTGTGGCCTGGCTGCTAGAGTGGTGGTGACAGCTCCAAGTGCAAGGGCCCTGGCCCGGTCTCAGGGTTGCGCTCGCTTTCATGGGACCAGACGTGATGCGGCAGGGTGGGCGTCGTTACGGTTAGAGAGAGACAGGCTCGTCCCGAGGTTAGTGCCTGACTAATGAGGGCAGGGCCTGGCGTCTGAACCCGGGCCGCCGTTACAGTGCGGGGATCAGTCTAGACGCTTGCCACCTGCTCCCACCCAGCCAGTATGGCTGAGGGCGGAGCCTGTTTGACGCGTCGCCCAATGACGGGACCTGGAATGTACTGGTTGGGGTAGGCCTTACCGAGTCGGCCGGTCAGGGCCCGCAGTCTCGCCCCATCCACTCCGGTGCCTCCATTTAGCTGGCCAATCAGCCCAGGAGGGGCAGGTTCCCTCGGGCCGGCGCTAGGATTTGCACTAAAGTTCCTCCCCCCGCGGGTGGGGGCGGGGAAATTCATATCCCCTGTTCGTCTCAAGTGCGTCCCCCGTCCCCAGTCTAAAAAGCAATTGAAAAGGTCTATGCAATAAAGGCAGTCGCTTCATTCTTCTCATACCTGCCCTTCCTCCATCCGACAGCCCGCGGTGGGCGGGGCTGAGACTCCAGCACTTCCAGCAGCGCCGGCCCTCTATGGACTGCAGCCCAAAGCTGCCCACGGGCTGTAGCCAGTATGCCATGGAGCTGCCCTCCTCTTCCACAACAGCTGGCTCTGGGGTTCTCAAGATTTATTCAGGATCGTGTTAACGGAGGCGGTAGGAGGATGGGGTCCCTGACGTGCCGGGGACACACACAGAGGACCTTCCCCGCCCCCACAAGGGAGGGGGGAGGCTCGCTTTTTCTTAAAAATATAAATGTATTTCTCTGCATCATCATGTCCCTGGGGCACCCAGCTGGCCCGCCCGTGGGCCACAGGGCAGGGAGGGAACTAGGCGTAAGTCTCAGCCAGGCGGAGGACAGCTCCGCCAGGTGGGGGTGTGGGGCAGCCTCACAGGGCCCCGTGCTGGGCCTGGTATCGGGACAGCACAGCGCGGTAGTGGGACAGCTCCTGGCGCACTGCCACCACTTCCTGCCGCAGCAGGGCGTTCTCCTTCTCCAGGAAGGCCGCCCGCACCGAAATCTGGTTCTCCTTGAGCCGTCGGGCATCCCGGGATCGCTTGGCTGCCTCGTTGTTCTTGTATCGCCGGCTCCAGTATTTCTCGTCCTGGGGAAGAAGCGGGGAGGGCACTGAGGTCCAGAGGGACCCAGGTCCCAGCGAGAGGGGAAGGGAGCCCCAGCAGTGGGGCCTAAACCATGCCGCGTCTCCGCTGGGTTAGGAATCCAAGGGTCTGCCTTTCTAGGGCCCTGGTTGCTAAACAGATTGGGCCCCTAGCAACAGTAAAGGCATGAGATAGACCCCCACCCTCAAGCAACTGGGCTTCAAGTCTCCACTGTGCAAAGCGGACCCCAGCCTTCCCCGCATGATAAAGGGCCTGCAGTTAGCTCGTGGTTGCTAAGGATGCTTGTTCCCTAGCAACAAGGCCTTCATGGTCTGAGGGCTTCTCCCAGTGAAAAGCATTGCCCTGCACATCACCTTTCCAGATCCTGGTTGCTAAGGAAAGCGTGGTGCCCTGGTGATAGGGTTTGGTGTCCCATAATAATCTTCCCAGAGCTGGGCCCCTTCTGACCTGGTTGCCAAGGCAACCTCATCCATCCTCAGCAAACCAAAGTGAGGTCTAAGTGGTTTCAATGACTGGCCCGTCTCTGACCTTGAACTGAGACCAGAAAACAGCCTCCTCCCCAACAGGACCTGACTGAGAGAAGAGGTGTCCCTTAGGAAAGGGGACTACCCTGGGACCTCCCCAGAGGATTATACCTGAAGTCCTCCCATCCTGGAAGTTGCCTCCTAAGGAGGACTACTCCTTAGTAACCAAGGACCACTTGGCTCAGAAAGATGCTCCCCCCTCCACCATTTAATGAAAGCTGAGTTCCTGTTTGTGAGGTCAAATCCAGTCCCCAGCAACAGAACCCTCTAGCAGGAGAAACCATTGGTGTAAATTTGACTTATAGGCTCGTCCTAGCTGCCTCAGGAGCTATGTCTTACACAAGGGCATGGCAAAGTCTTGTTTTTGAGATGGAGTCAAGGCTCTGTCACCCAGGCTGGAGTGCAATGGTGTGATCTCAGCTCACTGCAACCTCCACCTCCTGGGTTCAAGTGAGTCTCCTGCCTCAGCCTCCTAAGTAGCTGTGAATACAGGTGCCTGCTACCATGTCCTGTGAATTTTTTTTTTTTTTTTTTTTTTTTTTTTGAGATAGAGTCTTGCTCTGTCACGCAGGCTAGAGTGCAGTGTTGTGATCTCAGCACACTGCAACCTCTGCCTCCCAAGTTCAAGCAATTCTCCTGCCTCAGCCTTCTGAGTAGCTGGGATGACAGGTGCCCACCACCATGCCCAGCTAATTTTTTGTAATTTTAGTAGAGACAGGGTTTCACTGTGTTAGCCAGGATGGCCTTGATCTGACCTTGTGATCCACCCACCTCAGCCTCCCAAAGGCTGGGATTTCAGGCATGAGCCACCCCACCTGGACTGTTTTTTTGGTTTGTTTTTTTGTTTTTGTTTTTGTTTTTGTTTTGTTTTTTTGAGACAAAGCCTCACTCTGTTGCCAGGCTGGAGATTGTGCAGTGGCGCAATCTTGGCTCACTCTACCGTCCGCCTCCCGGGTTCAAGCGATTCTCCTGCCTCGTCCTCCCGAGTAGCTGGGACTGCAGGCACGCACCATCATGCCCAACTAATTTTTCTATCTTTAGTAGAGATGGAGTTTCACCATGTTGGCCGGGATGGTCTTGATCTCCTGACCTCATGGTCCGCCCACCTCAGCCTCCCAAAGTGCTGGGATTACAGGCATAAGCCATCACGCCTGGCCAGGAATGACAGTCTTGTAACAGAAACCCAAGCAACTCTTCCCGGGGAAGACTCCCATAATGGCAAAAAACAAAATGATGTAAAGATGCTATCACTGCTCAAATCACCCCACATCAGAAAGTGACCCTGACCGCTAACAGAAGCCTGAAGTCTCCCATCAGTGAGAAAGAAGTCCAGGCCCAGGAAACAAGACCTAAAGGGGCTGGCAGAGTCTGCCTCCTGGCCAAATGCCATCGCACTAAAGGAAGCCCTACACCAGAGATCAAAGGCCTGCTAAGTAAGGAGAGAGGGTCACAGGCTGATAGCCCACTGCCAAGGAAGACTGTCCTTCGCAGTTGTGCCTGGTGGAGCCTGAGACCTGTCCCACTGAGGGTGCTGGACCCAAGTAATAGGAGAGGCTTCAAGTCTCTATAAGGAGACCTAGCAGAGCTGGCTGAGTCAGTACCCCACAGTGACACTGCCTTTGGTTTTAAGACAGGGTCTTGCTCTGTCATCCAGGCCAGAGTGCAGTGGTGCGATCTTGGCTCACTGCAGCCTCAACCTCCCAGGCACAAGCAATCCTCCCACCTCAGCCTCCGGAGTAGCTTATAGAAATGAGGTTTTGCCACGTTGCCCAGGCTGGCCTTGAACTCCTGTGCTCAAGCGATCCTCCTGCCTCAGCCCAGAAAAGGGCTGCAGTTATATGAGTGAGGCCCCTCCCCCAGCTGACACTATCTTCATAAATCTTACGCCCCTGCCCCTGTGCTCCTTGACCAAGGAGGTCTAATCCGTGGCTGCAGGCCAGGAGAGGCTGAGCACTAATCCCAGGGAGAAGCCCAGGCCTGACTGTGAGAAAGGTCCCCTCCCTGGCTGTGGGGCATGTCTCTAGCCAAGCCTGTCCCACATCCAGCACTGCTCACCTTCTGCTCCTCTGGCACCTGGATTTTCCTTGCCTTCTTCATGATTGGCTGGGGCTTAAGTTCCTCCTCTGAGAAGCGATGTCTCCGAGGGTCAAAGGTCTCATGGCCAGGAATGCTTGATAGGGCAAGATCAGCTGGGTCGGGTTCAAAGGTCATCAGCACCTCCACGGTGTCTGGGTCCACAGGGCTCGGTGTGTCCCGAGAAGTCAGGCCTTGGGGAAACAGCACGTGTCAGCTGAGTGTGTATTTATTTTAGGGAGGGGGTTTCCAGAAACTTCCTCTTGCTCAGGTATTGTAGCCACATGCACAGCCTTTCTGGGATCTAGCATAAATTCGGTCAGGGATTAAACTCCCTAATATAAAATATGAAAGTTTCCTTGGTCAAGTGTGGTGGCCTACGCCTGTAATCCCAGCACTCAGGGAGGCTGAGGCAGGCAGACCACCTGAGGTCAGGAGTTTGAGACCAGCATCAACATGGGGAAATTCTCATCTCTACTAAAAATACAAAAATTAGCCGAGTATAGTGGCAGGCGCCTGTAATCCCAGCTACTAGGGAGGCTGAGGCAGGAGCATTGCTTGAACGTGGGAGGTGGAGGTTGCAGTGAGCTGAGATCGCACCACTGCGCTCCAGCCTGGGGAACAGAGCGAGACTATCTCCAAAAAAACAAAATGAAGGTTTCCCTAAGCCATAAAGATGCTTAGAGATCATGGAGCCACATCTACCTTTACTAACAAGGAAACAATCCCAGTCATAAGTGATGCCCTAGGTAACCCATGGATCAGGGCTATGGCTTCTAAAACCTCAGGACTTAAGATGCACTGTGTTTGTTAGTTCAGTCTAGCCTGAATCCTACTTACCAAATCCACGACCTAAGCTTAGACCCCAGGCTGTCCAGAGAAAAAGAATCTACTGCACTTCAAAGTTCTCAAGTTAAGAGTCTAAAAGCTACTCGCTGAGAAGAGTTAGGGAAGAGGAGGAGAAACTGCTCTAAGGTTCTAGAAGGTTGGTTCGAAAGAAGGCGCCTGTACCTTTAAGCGCCAGCCAGCCGGGGCTAGCTGAGGACACAGGTTCAGGGCCGAGTCACGTGCTGACGCCTGCTTCCCTCCTCCTCCCTTCCTCCAAGGCCCCCCCTGCCACCGGAGCCCTCACGTTCCCCCGGCCCCGCCCCTCGCGCGTGAAGGCGCCTGCGCGAAGCGCAGAGGCGGGAGGGGAGGACTCACGTGGCGCAGGAATGTGCGGCTGGGGAGGGTTGGGCCCTGGTTCAGCCCGGAGGTCGGACCTGGGGCAGGTGTTCCCAGGAATCCCCAACCTGCAGTCGGTCCCTGGAGACCTCAACGTGCTCAAAGGGAAACATCTTTCCTCTTAGCTCCAACCTCCAAAGATCCCAACCCCCTGCTCTCCGGGGAACATCGGCCCCCTGGATCTTCCCAGGCCCCCAGCCACTAGGGTACCCGCGATTCTGGGGTCCCAGGCCTCTCCTCACCCAGGAATATAGGAAGCTCGGTCCTAGCCCCAACTGTAGGATCCAGAAATAAGATCCTTAATGTTTTCCCTTCTGAAGAACTCTGGGACCCGGGGCTGCAGCACGCCCCACAGGGGGACCCAGGAACCTGGGCTGCCAAGTGCCAAGACTTGTGTCCTGGGAAAACAGAAGTCTGTGCCCCTCCCTTGCCTTTGCCCCTGTAAAGGACCCAGGGGCTCCAGTCCTATCCCAGTTCCATCGATATGGACCCAGATTCTGGGATCAGTTCACTCTCCAGTAAGTAACTCCGGAGCTCCGGACTTCCAGTTGTGGCTTTGCGAGTATCCATATACTGTATCCCCATGTCCCACAGAAAAACCCACAAAATCTCATTGGGCAGGCTTCCAGGAATTTAGGGTCCCAAGTCTCTCCTCCCCTATAGATCCAGAAGACCAAGTCCCTGACCCATTAAGAGACACAGAATCCGGGCCCCTGCCACGACACCTCCCGACAAGTGGACACAGAATTCGAGGCCGCAGCCGGGTCCGACGGTCCCAGCCCCCAGCGTCGCACAGCCCCGCCCCCTGGGCCCAAGCCCCGCCCCGTCAGGACCCACCCCGCCCCCCTCGCCGCACCTGCGCGGTGGCCGCTGGCGGCCCCGAGGGCAGCCCGGGCGGGGGCGTGCCCAGGAGAGGAGTGGGGGGAAGCTGAGCCGCAGGAGCCAGGCCCTGGGGAGGGTGCGGGCGTCCGCGCGGGCGACGGCTCCGGCGACGGGCCACCGGGTGCCGGAGGGCTGGGCGGGAGCCCGTGCTCCAGCAGGAAGGCGTCCAGGTCCACGTACTCCACATCGCCGAACGGCAGCGTGCGCTCCCACAGCAGTGGCGCCAACAGACCCGGGCCGGGGACCGCCCCCGGGCGACCCCGCGGGGACCCGCCGCCCACCACCGCCCCAGCCGAGGCATCCGCCGGGCCCGCCGTCTCCAGGCCCGGTCCAGGGGTTGTGGCTGCGGGCAGGGCCGCCTTGCGCTCCTTTTCCTTCAGGAGACCTGCGGGCCGGGAAAGACGGGATGGGATGAGAGTGAGGTGGGGAGGTTGAGGTGGCGAAGAGACCCAGAGTCCGAGAGGCAGAGGGAGGAGATCCAGAGAAAGAGGGGACGGGGGTGGGGGTCGAAGGGGAGAGACGGGAGAGGAAGGGATGGAGACGCAGAGTGGGAGAGAGACCCAGAAAGAACGGAGATGGGGGCGGTAGAGACAGGTGGACAGAGATTCACAGAGATGGGGACAGAAGCCCGGGAAGTGATAGAGATACAGAAAAACAGCGACCCAGAGAAAGCGGGACGGAAGTTCAGGAATAGGGGGGGCAGGGATAGGGTAGGTGGAGGTTTGGTCAGGTGAGAGAGAAAAATGACAGCTCTGTAATTCCACTGTAATTACCCAACCCCCCATCCCCTGCGCGCTGTACCCCCTTCCCCCTCCCCCACCATCTGTAAGGGGCAGTAAGGGGCTCTATTCCTGGGGCATATTCCTCACCCCTAGACTCCATGTGACCCCATGACGCCCCGCCCAAGCCCGTGTCACCACCGTGTGAGCACCCGACACACCCCCTCCCTGGGACCCCAGGGGTCCAGGCTCCCGGACCGAAAGGAAGAGGAAGCTGGGAACTGAGGGAGGAGGACGTTGGGGACCTTGGTGCCTGGGTCCTCAGGGTGGACGGGCTTCAGAGCCAGCGCTTTTGGGTCCTGGGCGCTGAGGGATGCAGGGGCTTAAACACCTAAGTAATTTAGTAATTAAGGTTGGGAAGATGGACCCCCCCACCCCCCACCTCACGGCACTTGAGTCCCTAAGGGGGTGGGGTGTCCAAACTGGGTGAGATGGGGGTTAGAACTCACAGCTGGCCGGCTCTTTGGGCTTGCTGGTCCCCTGCAGAAGGCTCCGCAGCCCAAGCAGAGCTCCCCCACTGGGAGGGGTCCCGGCCGGGCCGCCCAGCAGCAGAGGGGCCGGGGTCCTGTCGCTCACAGGCCGCGCCATCGCCTGGCACCTGCCCCCAGGCTCACGGGCTCATGGAGAGGCGAAGGGCTGGCCTGCCAGTCACCGGCACACTCCAGTGGTTTGGACGAGTGTCTGCCCAGGGGCGGGCGAATGTATCCTGCAAGCCTCCAGTATCCAGAACGCTGCAAATCCTAGGAGCGACGGGGATTTGAGGTTCTTGGTGCAGAAACGTGCAACTCAAGAGGGTGCCGGGAGATCATGCAGTCTGGCAGAGGGGCGTCCAAATCAAGCGGCCAGCTCTTTGCAACGAGGGTGCGAGGGGGACTCAAGGCGCTCCTTCTACAAGGTGGGCGAGCCTGGCTCTTGCAAAATCTGCAGCTCTCGCAACGGAAGGCGCTTTGCAATCTGCACCGAGAGGTGTGCACGGAGGGGCGGAGGAGGGGGCAGGAGGAGGCGGCCTCCTTGAGGCGTGGCCAAAGCAAACTTCTTTCGCGGAAAAAAAAAAAAAAATCCAAACCAAAACACCCGACGCCACAGCGCGCGCCCCTCCTCCCGGTCTCCGCCCGGCGCGTCCAGCCCCGCCCGCCTCTGTGGGCATGCACCCCAGCCTCGTGCCTCCCTCCGGCTGCAAGCACAGGCCAATCGTTTCCGACCCCTTGAGACGCCCAGCCAATAGGGCTTCCGGATCCGCCAAGGCCCGGGAGGGCGCGTGAGGGGCTCAGCGCGTGAAGTTGCCTTGCCTTTCGGAGGGAGGCGGGACACTGACCTACATTTGCCCAATAGGAGGCGGTGCTGGGGGCGGGACCGTGACCCAGTTTGGGCCAATGAGGCAGGCGGGAGGGGGAAGCACATGGCTCTGCTCGTGCTGCCTGATGGTGGGGGGTAGGGGTAATGGGGGAAGAGGGGCGCTGCTTAAAGGGACCGCGGTCCTAACGATGGTTTTGAGGAGCAGGAAGCCAAAAAACCGGGTAGCGGGGGCTTAGAAAGAGGAAGATTGGTTTCCGGAAGAAGGCTGTTAATACCTAAATGTTTCCCCACCGCGCCTAGAATCAGACCACTGAGAAACAGGAAGTATTCTGTCCCTTTAATAGCATTGTTTTTAGGATAACTCCCCTCGCCTTGTGGGGAGGCTTAGGACGGGCGGGCGCAATCCTCGAAGGGGTGTCTCAGCGACCATGGAGGGCACCATCCACTGTAAGACAAACGACAACGGCAGGGGGCGTCACTTTAGGATGGACGGGGCAGGGGGCGTGCGTTGGGCCGCGCAGGCCTCCACCGTCTGGAGTCTGCCAGCTGGGAACCCGAATGTACCAGGTGCAGAAGCACTGGGCTGAACCACAGGAAGGCAACAGGAGGGGGAAATCTGGACATCCAGATTCAGCCTTAGGCTGAACTACTTGAAGGTCTTCATGGGGGGGTGTGGGCCGTACCATCTTGCGAAGCCAAGGGGGATGTGAGATCCTTGGGCCGAACCACAGGGAGGCAGTAGGTGGAGGGAAGGGGCTGTACCTTGTAGTTTCTCAGTAAGGGGGAAGGGAGCAGTCAGATTGTGGAACAGCATAGGGTAGTACGATTTGGAAGCGGGGAGAGGATCCAAACGACCATTTTGGAAATTCACAGTAATAGGAAGCACAGTAGGTAATTGGACTATAGGAAGACAGGGATCATGGGTTATAGCCCAAGTTGCAAAGCAGTGAAGAGGACAAATCGCGGGCCAGCAATGGCCTAGGGCCGGGAGGTGGACTGTACCACGTGGACACGTAGGGAGAGAGAGAAAAAGGGAGCGCTCAGGAGGCTAGACCACACAGAAGCGGGAAGGGGGATGGGGCTGAACCACATTGAGACACCTAGGGGAGACACATATTAGCGGGCTAGCCCAACACGGGGGTGCAGACCGGACCATACCATGCAGGCGGTAGTTGGGGCCTCGGCAGCGCCTCTCGGGGTGCCGGGGGTCCCTGTTGCCCCTCAGTGCCCTGTGGGCCAAGGGCTGCAGGGGCCGGCCGTTACCGCTGAGGCTCTGGAAGATCTGGGATGGAGGATTCTGGCTCAGGAGTCTCAGGGAGTGCATCTGCCGTGGAAGGAGGGTGGGAAACTGGGAGTGACTAATGAATGGTCTTCGTGACGTCACTCAAGAAGTCCCGCCCCTGGGAGCCGGTGGGCGGGGCCTGTTCTCAGCCCCACCCCACCCCCAAAGGTGCTCTGACCCTCTTACCTCCCTGAGTTCACAGTCTATGAGGAGAGGGAGGGCAGGTGAGCAAGGGGATACCCAGGTCAGTGAGTGGAGTACCGAGGCCTAGGAAGGGCGGTGCGGACAGAGTCACCTGGAGGGAGGTGATATTGAGGGCCCGGTCAATGAGGATCCAGGTGACAGTCTCGGAGCAGGGCGGAGTGCTGAGAGAGCCCTGATAGGTGATGAAGCCGAAGGATTCGGGGAACAGGAGCTCCAGGCTCAGGTCTTGAAGAAAGTAGGCATCATCTGCGGGAACATCAGGCCAGAGTCAAGAGGGTGCCACTCTTGAACCCCTCTCGCGTGTGGCCTCTGCCCCCGGCACGCCAGGGACTTACTCTTGTAGGAGATGCGTGTGATGGTGTCGCGGTTAAGGAGGCGACTGAGGAATGGGTTAGAGCTACCGGCCACCTGTGTGAGGTACGAGGTGAGGACCCAGGAGCCCAGAAGCCCAACCCTCAACCTTCTCCTCCCCCAGGACCCAGGAGTCTGGACCTCCCAGCACCCCGCTTCTCTGAGAGCCCGGGTTCCAGGCACCCAGCTCCTCCCTCTCTCCGAGTCTCGCCTCCGCTTACGTTGACAAAGAGGCTGAGAATGGCCAGGCCATTAGGGCCGCGGGAGGCGGCGCTGAAATTCCCGTAGAGTTCCTGGTTGAAGTGAATCAGCTGCACCTGCCGGATAGGACAGAGCACGGGGTCCCCCAGCAGAAGGGGAGGAAAGCATGACCCCAGCTTTGGGGCCCGAATCAGGCTGAGGCTTAGTGCTTAGGGTGGGAGGCCAGTTCTGTGGAGGGGGATGGGGTGAGGCACTAAGAGGGGTGAGGTGGGAGGAATTGGGGTGACTCAGGGTGGAGGGTCGCAGGTAAACAATCAGTGGCTACCACCTCAGCAGAGAAGCCCTGATGGTTGATCTGATGTTCGGAGCCGGTTCCGTCTCGAGCTCCAAACAGCAGTCGCAGTTCACTGAGTCGGTGGCTATAGAGGAGGGGACCCCCAGACACATTGACCACAGGTCGAGGTGCAGGCAGGAAGGAGACATGTCGGCCAGTGTTGTACAAGGTTCCCCGGAGCTGTGGGAGAGGCGGGAGCTGTCAGGGGGCAGGGAGAGATCTTTTCCTACAGTTTCTGATTCCAACAGCCTTTTTTTTTTTTTTTTTTTTTTTTAAGATGGAGTCTTGCTCTGTTGCCGAGGCTGGAGTGCAGTGGCGAGATCTCAGCTCACTGCAACCTCTGCCTCCTGGGTTCAAGTGATTCTCCTCCCTCAGTCTCCCAAGTAGCTGGGACTACAGGTGTGTGCCACCACAGCTGGCTAATTTTGGGATTTTTAGTAGAGACGGGGTTTCATCCTGTTGGCCAGGCTGCTCTTGAAATCCTGACCTCTAGTGATCTGACTGCTTTGGCCTCCCAAAGTGCTGGCGTTATAGGCGTGAGCTACACGCCCAGCCTCTAACAGTCATTTAATCATTCAGCATACACCGATCACTTTCCAGGCTCTGTCCTAGTCTGTAAGTTGGTGCCCAATATTGGTAAATTTGTTTGATTAATATGGACAGAGCTGGTGCTATGCACCGTGGATGGCAAGAATTGAGCTATATACAAGAAGACAAAAGTCTTGGGCCTCAGAGAGTTTATGTTCTAACGAAGGTGAGACAGACAATTGTGAGTCACAGAAGTAACTGCTTAATTAAATGCATCCAGAGCTCATGCTTAGAGGATCTGGGAGCTCTGAGATGTCATGGGGAACCCAGCTTAGATGGGGGTGTCAGGAAAAGCTTCCCTACGAAGGTGACATTTTATTTTCATTTATTATTTTGAGACAAAGTCTCTCTGTCACCCACACTGGATTGCAGTGGCACGATCACAGCTCACTGCAGCCTTGAACTCCTGGACTGTAAACGATCCTCTTGCCTCAGCCTCCTAAGTAGCTGGAACCATAATCACCTACTATCATACCCAACTAATTTTGAATTTTCAATTTTTTTTTTTAGTAGAGACGTTCTTTCTATGTTGCCCAGGCTGGTCTTAAGTATCTAGGCTTGGCTGGGTGTGGTGGCTCACACCTGTAATCCCAGCACTTTGGGAGGCCGGGGTGGGCAGATCACCTCAGGTTGGCAGTTCAAAACCAGCCAGACCAACGTGAAGAAACCCCGTCTCTACTAAAAATACAAAAAATTAGCCAGACATGGTGGCTCATGCCTGTAATCCCAGCTACTCAAGAGGCTGAGGCAGGAGATCACTTGAACCCTGGAGGCAGAGGTTGTGGTGAGCCAAGATCGCACCATTGCCCTCTAGCCTGGACAACAAGAGTGAAACTGTCTCAAAAACAAAAAGAGAGAGAGAGAAAGAAATTCCTGGGCTCAAATTTGACCTCCCAAAATACTGGGATTACAGGCATGAACCACTGCATCTGGCCAAAGGTGACATTTTTAATGGGGACCTGGAGGACATGGAGGGGTGACTCGCAAAAGAGAGAAAAGCACTCCAAGAAGGGGAAACAGCAGGTGCAAAGGCCCTGAGGTGGTCTGTTTGAGTGACAGAAAAGAGACTTCACCAAAGTCCAGTGAACAAAGGAGCAAGAGGTAATGGGAGCCAAACGGTGTAGGGCCTTGTGGAAAACGGTAGAGTTTTGTGTTTTTTATTTGAGTAAACAGCATATATAGGCCGGGCGCGGTGGCTCACACCTGTAATTCCAGCACTTTTGGAGCCTGAAGCAGGTGGATCACCTGAGTCAGGAGTGCCAGACCAGCCTGGCTAACATGGCGAAACCCCATCTCTACTAAAAATACAAAAATAAACTGGGTGTGGTGGTGGGTGCCTGTAATCCCAGCTACTTGGGAGGCTGAGGCAGGAGAATCCCTTGAACCCTGGAGGCGGAGGTTGCAGTGAGCCAAGGTAGCACCACTGCATTCCAGCCTGGGTGACAGAGTGAGACTCCATCTCAAAAAAACAAACAAACAAAAAAACACATAATATTAAAAAATTAAGCCAGGCATGGTGGCTCATCCTGCACTTTGGGAGTCTGAGGCAGGCAGATCACGAGGTCAAGAGACTGAGACCATCCTGGCCAACATGATGAAACCCGTCTGTACTAAAAATACAAAAATTAGCTGGGGTTGGTGGCGTGCACCTGTAGTCCCAGCTACTCGGAAGGCTAAGGCAGAAGAATCGCTTGAACCTGGGAGGTGGAGGTTACAGTGAGCTGAGATCGTGCCACTGCGCTCCAGCCTGGCGACAGAGCGAGACTCCAACTCAAAGTAAATAAATAAAACGAAATAAATAAATAAATAAATAAATAAATAAACTGCATATATGTAACACATTTGCCAGAGTGCCAAACATACAGTAGGTGCTACATAAATGTTTGCTATTATTACATATCCTAATAGGAGGATTTTGAGCCGGAATGACACGATCTCGTTTGTGTTTTAAACCTCTCTCTAGCTGTGGGGTAGAGAATGGATTGCAGGAAGTAGAGAGGCAGGCCAGTGAGGAGGCTACGCCAACAGTCACCAGTCTGGGTGGGAGAGGATGGTGCCTGCACGAGAGTGGGGGCAGTGGTGGGGTGATCAGTGAAAGGATTGGAATAACATTTAGCATCGAGTCTAGAAGGAACATGGACTGGAAATGGATGGGAGGGAGAGAGGATGGGATGGGGAATAGCTTTGAGGCTTTTGGCTAGCACAGCTAAATGAAAGGTAGTGCCAGCTCTTATGAGAGATGGTATTGGCCGGGTGGGTTGGATCACAGCTGCAATTCCAGCATCTTGTGAAGCCAAGGCAGGAGGATCATGAGCCCAGGAGGTCGAGACCAGCCTGGACAACATGATGAGACCCCACCTCTACAAAAAACTTAAAAAGTTACCCAGACATACTGGCATGAACCTGCAGTCCTGGCTACTTTCTTTCTTTACTTTTTATTTTTTTTTCTGAGGCAGAGTCTTGCTATGTCACCCAGGCCAGAGTGCA